GTGCATTTCGTTGGTTTAAAAGGCTATTGTGTCTTAGACTTAAACCAATACGGGTTTTCAAGCACAGATAATTTGTGCTGAAGCGCTACCAGACCTGAATGCATATCAGTATCACGTTATTACCATTTGCAGAGGATCACTGAGGCATTATTTGTTTACCCTGTTTTTTTTTTTTTTACACATGGGAAGATTATGGAGGGACTGGGGGCTTAAAGAGGGAAGGAGGGTTTGAAGATCTAGACAGGGGATGGCTGAAACAAGGGGGCTGATACCAAAGAGAAGTAGTGCCCTATTAGGGTATCCGATCAAGTCGCCCGCGGACCAACTCGCCCACGTATAAAATCAAGGCAATCACGGTGTTCTTATGATACTTTCCATTTATCTTGTCCTTTCTAACTTTAAACTGGTTCTTAAGTGCACCGATAAGCTTAATCGTAATGTATAAAAATGTCTTGGTCGCCGTTTCAGCCTGCCGGCGGCAAGGTATGTCCGTGATTTTGTCATCTCAGTCGTCATTGGGAAAGATATGATTCCAAGGTAACTTACGCTATAAGCCTCAGTTTTAAATATTGCTATGCATAGATCCTGCTATATATTGTGATATTGGGCTTTAGGTTACTCTTGCGGGAAGCTGCCTCACGAGTTTGTAGGTTTAGGGACATTTTGATGGAACAGAACAAAGGTCAAACCAAAGCAAACCCGAATTACCTTCGACACTCGATTAAAAACTTGCTTTTCCAGTTAAGCTAAGTTAACAGCCTATCGAGTTGGTCCCTAATACTTCATTTTTCAGCTAGAATCGAGAATTGAGGGTTGAGGATGAATGATCGAGTTTCAACTTAAAATTTGTATGCTAAGTGGCTGGTACAATTCAGTGGGGAGTGTGTTACTCTCTGTTCATGCTTTACCACTTCAGTTGGGAAAGCTAGATTTCTTATTGTTTAATATGCATGAAAAATTAATCTACAAGTCGACGTCGTAGCTAAGTGAATGAGATGTCATAAGCGAGATGATTTAAACATTATTTTGCGCTCTAAAACAGGTTGAGTCTTTACACTATGGAGGATCTTCGGAACAAGATTATGGCCGTGATAAAATATTCCACCACTCCAAAGGTTAGTTGACTAGAAACGCTAGTTCCTACAGATAGGTCTAGTTTTTATTTCATTGTAGATAAGAATAAAACGAGCGCGTTTTCATTGAAATCGCAATGTCGTGTTAGCCATCTCATCAGGCTTCTTCCCTGTTTGTTTATCTGCTTCTATTCTGCAGTTCTAAAAAACTCAAAAAAGCGGTTTTCTTTGGACACTTCTATTCAGGCGACATCGCCTTTCACGGACTCAATCTAAGTTCCAAACTGGTAGCAATGGACTTTGCGAGCCAGTAATCTTATCGGTTATCTTCATTGAAGGGACAGTCATCGATGGAGTCTTTTCTTAGTTCCCAGGATGTTCCCTGATTAGAAGGGCCCCTGTAGTAGTCAACAAAATGTTTAATTTTAATAAAATTCCAAACGAGAGAAGATAAAAATAAGTCTTTCTCGTGGTTGTAATTACTTTTCTGTTCCAGTGGAAGATTTTACGTGGATGCGTGTGCCGTTGTGCATTCGTGTGCTGTTATGGGTGCAAGTGTGTCAACTGTGATGCTCAGCTACGAGATAGTGAGGCAGACTGGGAACACTTTCAGTTGCCTAACAACAAGAATTCCCAGACACCTCCATTCTTTCCACCTGGGAAAGTTATTCATGTGGTCAAAACTGTGTCTGTTCCAGGGTAAGTTAAAGATGATTTAAATCATCAAACGCTACTTCTAGATGAGAGCAGACTTTACCTACCAACTATTACTCTGTCTAACTGTAGACCTGGCTTTCTTGTGTGTCTGTCTGTCTGTCTGATCGTCTGTCTGTTTTCTACCTGCCTGCCTGACTGGCAGTGATCGTGATTCGTTATCGTACCTTTCATTCGTTTCTTGCTCACAGCCGATGCGGTCGGAAGGGGACCATATTCGAGCCGGTTTGGGCTGACTTACAGGACTTCCAGACAATTCAAATCTCAGGCCTTATGTGGGAGGACCACATGCCGGACTTTGTTCTAAAGGCGCTGAATCAGTGTCTTCCTTCCAAGGAGCAAGAAGAGAATGTTCTTTCAGCCCCAGATCCATCATTTCCTAACGTACTAGAGGTTCCTTTGTCACCATTTGTGGAGCCTAATCACTTCCATAAGCAAAATAATCACATTGCGTCAAGATCACTTCAAGAAGGTACATATTCATTTAATACCGGTTTTAAAGGTGTAAGGTCACGGTGTTTTCCCTGGGTGGGGAGGAGAGTGGGAAGGAATGGGGGAGGGAGGGGTTTTCTGTTTAATCAAGGATGGCATTGGCGATAGGTCAAAGGATCGTATGTAATAAAAAAATTAATAGAATCTTCCTAAAGATCGTGAACTGGCCTTCCCATAGACTTGAACAAAAGCATATAATTAATTCATGTAGGTAGGCATCACAATCTTGCTGTTTCTGATTTCGTCTTTTGAAGCGATTTTTGTGCAGACTATTTCGATTGTGTGAGTATTAACATGGCAATGTTAATAATAATTAGATTAAGCCAAAGTCTAAAAGCAGAGCTTGAAATTGTTTGGAGCAACTTCCGGATAGATGCAAATTCCTGTACTTTGGTTGCGTGGTGTAGATCCCATTAGTGAAACACAACCTTATTTGCAGTCAAATATGCAATGATTGTCAGAAAGTTGAGTCCATTATCATCTGTTTCCTTACCTCAGCGAACGCAGTCTATGATACAGATGACGAAGTACTCGCGAGAGTTATTTCTGCTGACTCTTTAGCTTCAGGTAAGGCCCTGTATGATTGTGGTCCAAAGTATCTTAAGCCCTTATACCTTCCGTTAACAGTGTTAATCAGTATTATTCTGTAACTTGTATTCAGTAATTGCTTTATTGCTGTAAAATGCCGACCACCATTCTTTTGCAAAGATCATGATTCCTTCCCCTATTTCAGTTCTAATCTTTGTAATTATTGGTCTTGGCTCACCTTTTACTTCCTGGATATCGACATATCTTGACGTATAAACCGATAACATTTGATACTACTTCACACCGCTCTTCACTTTCTGCTCTTTCGTCTAACTTCTTTTTCCTGCTGGTTTGCTTTATTGTAGTTAGCTGCTGTAACCTATGGTCCAGTTTATTTTCTCTCTAGTTTTACTATGGTGCCAGTCATCTTCATGCACTCGCGTGGAACTATAATTTCTATCGTAATTAATTGTTGACCCTTTTTGTTTTAAAGTTCTTCGTCGTCGTTGTTGATATTGTTGTTGTTGTTTGTTCCACTTCGGCTGTTACTTGTACCCTTCGAAGTTTGCGTTTTTATTTAAATGTATTTATTTCTTTTCCGGAGCAAGCTGACATTTCTTATGATAACAAAATTCAGATGTACTTATTTGTTATTGATTGATTGATTGATTTGTTTGTTTGCTTGTTTGTTTGTCTGTCCTTGTTTGTCTTCCTTTGTTCGCTCTGCTCTTTTGAGTCTTGATTTGTAAATCAGTCAAACTGTCGCCTACATGTGTATGATTCAGTTAGATCAACAAATGACCAAAAATGTAGAAAATAGGACACACAATACAGCGCATCTCATAGCACAGCGCTTGGTAAAGCACAGGAGCTTACTGACAGTTATTTTTGTAACAACAACAAAAACTCAGATAAATTGATATGAAGAAAACTGTTAATTCTTGAAGTGAAAAATTATTCAAACTAAATAATTGACCTGGGAGTCGCGCACCAAACATGCATAATTCTAACCCAAAATATTTAACGAGCTCAATGTTTAACGTTCTTATCAGATTTAATTGTCTCGTAAATTGTTCTTTGCATGTACATTTGCGGCATGAAATCCTCACGTCGAGTTTCCCGTCTTCCAATGAAAGCTTCTGTTTTTAACTTTTTTCTCTTTTTCTCTGTAAACTGTTATTTTTCGTTTCTTCTTTGACTAAACAACAGAAGTTGGACTTGACGTTCCTGCTGATATGCAAAGCCTCGACAGCTTTGAAATCAGCGTAACTACAGTTTAGACAAGGTAAAGTTCAGCATGCTTCTCTGCTTTCTCTTAAGTTTATCCCTCAGTGAATACTAAATTAATATCCCGCATGCTCAGTATTCATTTTCGGTTAACAGTTTGGACTTGACGAAACTTCGGTAATCACTTGTGTCATTAAAACGTTCAAAAGGTAACACTACGAAGCCACGAGAGAACCAATTTTTTTTTTATTAGTTATTTTATTCAGTGGGATATTGCCGTGTTAAATTAGCCATCAGAATAAAAACAAATGTACGCTAAAATTAAACACTGAAACTCCTTGCGATAAACTTAAACGGAACTGTGTTATTTTTCATTGCTGTAAACTTTTACACTGTTTAAATTTTGGCTTCAGCGCCAGACTGGTAGGATTGTTAGCATCATTGATAGACAATTTTAATATTTTTTATAAACGTTAGACACGTTGCTCCGCCTATTGATTCAAAATCACGTCTAAACAATTTTTTTTTATATCTGTTTATCGTGAATATAGTAGGTGGTTTGCGTGTTTGTTTCTTTTTTTCTTTGGAGGGAGCGACTTTGTTAAGTGTTACACCCTTTTGTTCTAGTCGTAATTTATCTCTCAGTGATCGCATTCTTTGCTTTACTGTGTTTTCTTCTCAATTTTCTTTGTTTCCTTGTTCGTCTTGTTATTGTTAGAGGGAAGAGGTGGAGTTAGAATTTTTTTTTGTCTTTTTTCTTGATGGCAAACTTTGTGTTTTTTTATCCTTTATTTTTGCGTGGTTTTCAAATGCCACTTTAAATCAAGCGCATGTGGACAACTTGGAAATCCTTTATTAGCTATAGGGAATTTTGTTCAGGTCTGTTTCTATTTTCTTATCGTTCGCCATTCCACTAGAATCTCATAAATATAGTTGAAAGTAAATCACAGAGCCGTTTGGATTATTCGAAAATTATTTGTATCGACAGTTCCTATAACTGTGGTGTCATTTGTAAGTATTTTTTGTTCTTACAAGGTCTGTCCGCCACCTTTCTCTCCTCCTCAATTTATCAATTTTCGTCTTGACTCGTGTTAAAAAAAATGTCGTAACATAGAAGACCTCAAATATTACATCGATTTTTTGTTAATTATTATTTTTTTTTCTCCTTTCATTTTTCCGTACAATAGAGCTGAATCATCCTTTATGGCGGGTATCTGCGCTGTCTTCAGAGTCACGTAGAGCACCGATTGCGCGCCCGGAAAGCGGCTTTGAGGATTCCGATTTAGAGGAAAGTGCACCGTCTTCACGTGTTTCCGCAACCTGGGCTAGTTACACACTTCCTTCTGTTAAGCAAAGCACCGATAACGTTGTCATTGACAGTCATCCGCGTCCTCGTGCGAGCACAGACCTTTCTGAATCACCAACCTCAGAAAGATTCTCAAAACTTCAAAACGATACAAGAAACGCTACTTCTTCTGGTTCGATTCCGACAAATGTTTCTTGTACGCCCCGATCAAATGGGGTTCCACCTCCTAAACCTCCACGAACATTCGAGACAGAAAGGTCCGAGGGTAGGCAGAGTTTCAGATACAAACCGCCGCCGAAGCCGCCGCGAACTTACGAGTACGAGTCTCAAATTCAAGCGAACTTTTCTTCATCTTTGTGCTGGAATTTTCCTCGTCCACGAGCACAACGGTATCAGACTCAGTTTTCGTCTCCAGATCTCGACGGAAGTAATCTTTCCTCTGACTCGTTGGACGGAGCAGAATCTGGGGAAGTACTGCCTCCTTATAGTCCACATCGAAACCGTAGACAAGATGAGTTTACTTTTCGGGTAATCAACGACCATGTGAACGGTGACCTCAGACTCGAAAAAGAAAATTCTTCTTTCTCTAAACAAAATTGCCATTTAAATGGAGAGGTTGCCCGAAGACCGAAGGCACGGTCGATTGAATCATCGGGCCCCGAGTCTCGGTTTTCGGTTTCGGATTCGGGCCTTCATATTTCACAAGAAGAGGAATTCTTGCTAGGATCCGTCAAACCGCGCGGGGGAAGGCGAAAAAGAAAGCCGATTAAACAAGCCGCTTCAGAGATACTCCAGCACTCATGCCCTAGCGCAGACCAGCCTCTGATTACGCGAAGAACTGATGCAAACTTTTTGGAGACCACGTTATAACACAGCCGGAAGTTATGGTGATTTGTGAGGTGTAAACCCTTAGTTTGCCCATGGGGGAAGTCCCGTTTATGTACCCTAGGTTTAGTTTTATTGGAGAGAGTAGGCAACAAAAGTAGTGAAATCTTTAAATTCTTATGACAAGTAGTACTAAAACATACTGTTTGATATAAACCCAGCGGACAAGAGCTTAAACAAGGTTTGTATTTTTACGTTTGTTTCACAACTTAGTGAGCTTCGTGACGGAACTCAGCCTGAAAGGCCTGGGTAGTTCTTTGAATGGTCGTTACTATGGTAAGTTACGTAGAACAGAGTGCCAGAAAAGGCCTGGGAAATCCCTTTTTTTTTCTTTCTGAGGAATTGAATGCACAAGTTTCCTGGAAATTTAGAATTTTGAGAGAAATCGTAATTTATACTCAAGACTTACGTGACACTGGCGAGTAATGATGCTTTGGGCTTAAATTCCTTATAAACATGCTGATGTATTTCCCTTTTGAAAAATTTATCACAATGGCAGCTCCTTGTCAACCAGCTTTTCTTAACTTTAACGCGTTACTTGCCTTCATGAAAGCACTTTTATTCAATTGCTACGAACCGCACGAACCGCAATATTACTGCTCCAATAAGGCATTGTAAAAAGCGCGGGAAAACCCTTTCAGCCAGATCACCCTTACTCTTTTTCCATGATCGGTTGTAAAAATGATCAAAGTAATTTTAATCGATGAAATCAAGCAACATGCAATCTTTCTAGCTAGTTAGAGATGTCGAAGTAATATTGTCTACGTCTTGTAGGCTCAACGGCTCTGAGCCTTTTATTTAACAAGTGTTATTTATTACAGATGTACCTACTATGTATTGAAACTTTATGAGAAAAACCAAGATATACATAATATATAATTTATAGTGGTGTTCAATTCTAAAGATATGTGCTATGAATATTCATTTTTGTTTTAAAGCGTTTTTATTCGGAAGGTTTTACAGCAGCATTGTTCGTAACTTAATAATTTATTTGTTTGTTTTTTATTTTTGCTTTTGCTATTATAACTGAATCTTTTTTTGGAAATGTTTCCACAGTATTTATTCCATACTGTGCTTTAACTCGATAATATATGGGTAAAAAATATGATTGATTGATACAGATATTAGAAGTAGTAAATTGATAGTTATTGCATTGCATGCAAAAAAGATGATTAGAAAAATTATTAGAAATAAATTTGAATTACGAGGAGATGAAAGGTCTCATAAATTCCCATGCTATGTTCAAGAGGTCCTGTGTTTTTCTAATCAAGTGTCATAGTTTTAAATTTTTTATTGCACTCATGGCTTGATTCTGATCTAAGCATATCATGCTGCATATGCCATAGTACTTCATCTGCCTGTGTTGTGTTCAGACGGTCTAGCAATTAATTTTGAATACATCATTGACCCAAACCGCTCTTCTTGCACCAGTCATCTGACGGAAACGCGATCTTGTTTTTAGTCCAGTGTTCGAAGTAATCTTGTTGTGCCAGACGCACAATTCTACTGCAAATCGTTTTGCGCTGCGTTTTATACATCATTGATTTAAGTGACACCTTTTGACGTTGGTCATTTGACGGAAATCAGATAACGTTAGTATCCCGACCATTCAAGGAGTGTAGAGACCATTTTAGTCCAAAGTTCAATCTTGCTGATCATTACAGGGTCCTCTACGCTTTAGATCTTGTGTCGGACTTGCTTAATTCCCTTTATGAATTATTGACAATAATCCCGCAGGGAGAGTTCAGATGACCATTACCTCTGCTTATTACTTAAAGGGTAAATTTTCACAGCGAAAATACACTCATTTGGCTTTTGGTAAACTCTCCGTTCGGTTACTGTTAAGAAAAAGCACGAAATCGAAGGATCATTCCATTCCTTACAATGAGCACCGAGACATCGGGGTACGAAGCATCAGAATATTTTTCTGCAGAATTTGGTAGGTCAAGACTCGTGAGATCTGGAGAAGCATGTCATCTCACCAGGGGATTTCGGGGTCACTAAGGATAATCAGGGCACTCCCATGCTAGTCTCCCACCTTTTAAGGCTAATTGACTAATATGGAAGGAGATACAATGAAATATATGAAGTTCATATATTTTGTACTGCGGTATACATATGATGCACGATATTTCATATATTCCATTGTATCTCATTTATCACTTTCACGGGTTTATTACGAATCAACTTAACGGCCTGCTCCCAGTTGGCTTGTTAGCTCAATTGGTAGAGCGCTGCACTAGTATCGCAGAGGTCAGTGGTTCGAATCCCGTACAGGCCTGATTTTTTTCAGGTCTGATTTTCGCTATTGCTTAAATAGCGCTATCTACTGCGAGGATCGTGCATCATATGTATACCGCAGTACAAAATATATGAACTTCGTATATTTCATTGTATCTCGCTTATGATAAAATTTGATATTTAGCAGTGTGAGACGTCACGACCATTTAGCTTGATGAACGGCTGGAGAAGAGGCCAAACTAGCAGAGTAAACGTAACAGCTATCAAAGTTTTAATTAAAGTCGTGGATCACCAGTTGCTAAGCTTGCAAAATGTTCCAGTACATCAATCATGGCAAGTTGAGGTATTGTCGTCCGCAATGGCTACTTTTCTTTTCGTAAGTGCCCTGAAATGTTCTGTTTTTTACCATGCAATTTCTTTTTTGTTTTCCTTGCATCAGAATCGTTACAGTTTTAGCAGTTTGCTTCGTACACTACCATCAACAGGCCAGCGCTATTGATAAGCCTGTCCTTGTAAGAAAAATTATTTCATTCGACGCGCGTTTATTAACGTTGAGGTCAATACAGCCATGATATGAACTGGTATTTGCATAGCGCGGCGTAACCAGTTACAGGGAAGGTAACCTGATTGGTTGGGTATTCTGCAGTGAAGCCGGCTTTTTTTTTTAATTCAACACCTTGCCTTATGTAACAGAAACTCGATAACGATACACTACATTGACATGTGCGGGATATCTTTCTCCTCGTGTGTCGCCCACTGGACAGAGAGAGAGCCTTGCCCTCTGGGACAGCAAGCAATTAAAACTCTCGCATTCGACCATTGCTTGCAATACATCAAAGACTATTTTAACAAGTCCTAACAGATGTTTAGAAATGTGATAAAATACTTTAAGTGTTTATAAACCTCAATCAAAGCTAAGGTAAAGGAACTAAAATCTTTATTCCAAAATCCATATCAGATTTCCTTACAGCTCTCGTGGTTTGAACCACTTAGAAACGGTTTCCGGGAAAAATAAAATCCAATTTATCAACGAGCGTGGTGTTACTTATGACTTTAGATAGCGTCATTTTAGACGTCCATGTCCCCTAGAAATTAAGGTCATGTTACCATTTCCAAGTTTCCCATTTAATGATATTAGGACAGCTTCGTCCTCTAAAATATAGATTATCGAAAAACTACTTCACGGCGGCGGAAGATGTTGATAAATGGTCTCATTAGGCATCTAAATAAGTCGATCAATAAAATGTAAAGCAATTGTAAGAAAACATCAGCCGTACAAAGAGGGTGGTAGAAATATATACAGTGTTTACCTGTGAATTTCCCTTATCATTTGTGCGCATTTTACAAGCAAAGGAAAAAAAGAAAACAAAGAGAATCCTCTCAAGATTGCAAAAGTGCAAAGATAAACGAGTGTACCACTAGTTAATGCTATGAAATACGGCACCAGTTTTTCTTTTTTTTTTTTTTTTTTTTTTTTTCCGAAACGACCGTTCCGGTCAGACTGATGTGATTACGGAATGGCTGAATTTTTTGTGACCAGTAGTATGAAAATTAAGTCAACCACAGTAATGCTTTTTTGCAGTTGATCCCTCATAGGACTTTGTATAAAGTCCTCTTCCCTTTCTTCCCGTGGATGAGGCTTAATGAACGTGAGGTGATACGCCTTCAGTTTCTGCCAGTATCAAAATGAGCAAACTAATCAGCTAGATGTTGGCCAATTGAAAATACGTATGTCTTTGTGCACCGCTGAGGATAAACGCTTTCATTGTCACTGGCTTTTGCTTGAGACACACCTCAGGGTGAAGTTCTTTATCCACTGCCAGATTACGACGGTCTAGTCTTTGACTTGTCATTAGGGTTAAACACTAAACTAAACGTGGAACGTCGCCTCATTGAGGGAAGAGGAGAAGTAGTGCGTAGTACAAACACTTTCTCAAAGACCCTAGCGTCTTGGCCATGCGATTGGTAGCAAATCAAAGCCCTACAAATTTTCGCAAGAATTTTCAAGTCAATAGAGCCGAAGATGATAGGGTTGATGATAGAGTTAGCATACATAAGAATGTTGCTGAAGGTGACAACCTTGGTGAAGAGTTCAGGTTGTTCGGAACCGTTTCCAAAGTCATGCCATAGCCATGTCACATGCGTCGGTAACATGCACACTGCAAACGCCACAACAGCAGCAACAAACACGTGGACGATTTTAAGATTTCGTTGCGTTGGCAGAGAGGCTGAATGCCGGCTGCTGATCGAGACATTTGGCCATTGTTTTAGAGAATTCTTGTCCTTGTACAATGCCCTGACTATAAATGCGTACAGAACGGTCATTAGAAGCAGTGGTACCGCGTAAAGAGAGGTGAATATAGTGAGGGTAAACACTTTGCCACTGTAAGAACGAGGCCATTCTTCTCCGCACTGCGACCCATCCAGCTTCAGTGCGAGCGACAGTGGAAGTACGATCAAGCAAGATGAAAGCCAAAAAACAATAATCGTCATTATTCCAGTTCTTAAGTGAATTCTCGGTTTCAGCGGTGTTACGATCAGTCTGTAACGATCCACGCACATGAATAACAGCGTCATTACTGACACGTAAACTAAAACAGACTGGAGAGGGTAAATAACGTGGCAGAGTGCAGCTCCATACGGAAATTCACCGATAATCTTTTCCCCTGCATCTAACGGAATGCTGACGAGGCACGTCCCTGCATCGGTGGCCGCCAGGTTCAAAATGAGATAATCATTGATTTTTCTCTTTTTAAGGCTAAAAATCGCTTTAAATACCAGAAGATTGCCAATCGTCCCTAGGAACGTAATTAGTATTAAGAGAGTTACTGCTATGACCTGAAACGTCTGCTCTGTGTTGTCGCGTGGTTGCTCTGTAGTGAGATTTACTATGCTGACTGAACCACCCTCATTGTTGTTCATCTTTCACCTGAGCTGAATATCGATAACTTCGCCAGGTTTGACTGCACGGAAAGGAAGCAAGATGCTTCGGTTGCGCTTACCGACTTTCAAGAGGACAAGGTAAACTTTATGAGAACAACGACGCCGTCAAATTATATAATCATCAACACCCAGTTATGAAAGGTTATCCCTGGTAATCTTTAATCCCAATTTTTGCGCTAAATCCTGAAATTCGTAACTTTAATCCTGTGAAACGTACTTCAGACTTGCAACAAAAGACGAAGACCATGTCTAAATTTGTTTGCTTGTCTGCTCATCATGTTCTTTGTGCAGTTTCTGCGTTGGGCTTCATTTCCTGCAGGTCACATTTAATGGGTCGACCACAAGCGAGTCTTTCATCGAGTTGACTAAGTGATCAAGACCATTACACAATAAACGGCCAAAAACTTTTAATTTGATGAGATTTGTAATGTTTGAAAATCAGATTGATCGCTGTTCTCAGAGTTGGGACAAATCTTGAGAGAGTTCTTCAAACACTACACGCTTTCACTCCCGCAGTATAACTAGGGATGGATTTTTCCTTACAATATCAATCAAGTAGAAAGGTCATGAGAAAAAACAAAATTTTAACAAAGTGATATTTTACGAGTCAATGCCAATTCCTCAGTGTTGACATTACTCGATATTTTAAGGCAGAAAGTCCAGAGAAAGCATACTTCAGGGATACGGAGAGTGAAAAAGTTAGTGAAAGCAAAGTCCCCGAACCAACGCGACGGTTTTAATTTCCTTATGATAACCTTCTAAGCTATTTAAAATAACATTAATGCGCGTTTGTCACGCTAACTTTTCTTGAAGATACTAAACAAGTGTTCTCCATACTACAATGCATTCCTTGTAAGCATGAGCATGAGATTCCTCAGTCGATGTTTGTTTTTTAATAATAGAAATCGCATTAAGATCGCACCGGGCCTGAATACGTGCACGCTGGCTATCTTTTTATAGCGCGGCACTTATCTCATGTCCAGCGAACAACAAACAAGGTCACGTTAATTTAGGCAATGAGCACGGAATCCCGATGTTAATCACTGAAAGTCCTTAGCATGGAATCCTTTCGGCTGTCGCCGTTAAATAAACATGTGTCATAGGTAAGATATAATGACCGAAAAATGCAAGCAAATGACGTTGCAACTCCTCGCTGATAATGAAGTCTTAAAGATATTAGCAAAGTAATTTGCTCTCATAAGGCAAACATGCTTCTTGTCATACTACTCTGGACGTGCTACTGGCAGCCAGCCATCTCGGTAGAACTATGTGGATGGTAGAATTTAGTGAGAGGTTCAAACCGATGCTTGTTTCCTTGAATTAGTGTTATCAAATTGTCTGCTCTAAAAAAGGAAGTAACGAGTGTCGACATGATGGCTAAACTTAAATAAGGAACGGCGAGACGTGCCGATTTCCCCCCCTTTTTTTAGATTCCTTCGACAAAAATAACCTTCTTGATTAAACAGGATATAAATCGGTTGTCGGGACTTAGCTTACGAAAACTCTTACTGTAAACTGTTTTACACATTCAGGATTCTTAGCCCTAACAAGACAGCAAAACACCAAAAGATTTAGTAAAGGTTTGGAAGCCTCCCCATCGATAAACAAATTCAATTAGCGTTTCCTAGATAAGTCTCCGTGGACAAGAAGGGTCACATGTGTCACCTTTTACGCTTGAGTGCTGTAATGGATCCGCAATTGCCCTAGTTTTGTTCTCCTGCGCTTTGTGATTTGTCCAGAGAACTCGCGCCACCCTGTTGACCAATCAGATACAAAACTCAAATCAATCCAGACTTGATGACTCGCGGGTCCTCCTCCGCTTTGGATGGTATGTTTGTTCTGAATTAGAGTTCTCTTTGAATCATGGTGACAGTTTTCCTTTGTTCTGATTGGCTCTTGTGATTGGTTCTGATGTGATGACACCCAAACGAGATGCAATATAAACACGGAGACTCTACAGGGAAATCTCGTCAGGGATGAAATATGCTACTGCCGATGCATTAACAAGGACACTTGACAAGGAAAATTGTTAAGAGTGTAATGGAATATTTCTACTTCAAAATTTTACCTTTTTCTAATGCACGTCAAAAAAATTGTTCTCACTGATAAGTGCACGTGTCTAGAGAATTGTAAAATTGATTAGTTTATTAACTAAAGATACTTTACACGGGTGCCCTTTGATTTCATGAAATATTGATTTCAAACCACACTTTCCCTTGCTTTATATTTGTCCAGTGCCAATAATCTGTGACATTCAGTGGCGCCGACAGCTTGTGAGCCACTTTTGTGCGTGCCATTACTCACGGTAACAGAAAGACGTTTAGATCTATGACTTTTATGCAGCTGGTGTCTAAACGCTCCACGGAAGTTCTCGTTGAATATAAGATACAAGCATGGGTTGATCGCTGGATAGGTATGTGAGACAACAAAGAAGGTTAATGTTAAGCACGTGCTAAGACAGATGTTCTGGTTGAACGTCAGAAGAAAGTGAGTGACCTGCACTGGAAGCCAACAAAGGGCAAATATGATCACAACGGTGATGAGCATTATGATGACTTTACGATTTTGCTTTTCGACTCGCTGACGAATTTTATCAATATGTTCACCGGGAGCCTTTCTTTTCCACATTCGCAGCACAATCTTTGAATAGAAAACGATCATGACTAATAGAGGAATCAGGTAAAACAAGACAAACCGGACAATCATCTCGTACTTCGTTATTTCATGAGACGCTGAAAGATTGTCCACCCATCTCGGGGCGCATATGACTTGGCCTGATTCATGATAGAGCTTGTACTTGTAAAGTTCACTTGCAAACACCGCCCCGGGAATGACCCATGTTGTAACGATTGCCGCCACTGTGAATTTTAAAGACATGGGTCTCCTCATTGTGCGTACGACTGCGTGGTAGCGGTCAAAAGTCATGATTGTCAACGTCAGGACAGACGATCCAATGGAAATATAGGCAAGAAATGGCAGACACTTGCAAAGAAAAACACCGAATCCGCCTGGAAACCACCTCACGCTTTCATACAAGTACGCAAGGGATAGGGGGATGGCCGTAATGACGTCAAGGATATCGGAGGCCGCCATGTTAACGATTAGTATATTAAAGTTTGTCTTTAAATCGGGATAGTGGTTGACCAGGAAGATGATCATTGCGTTGCCAAAGAAACCAATTACGAAAATGATGACGTAAGCAATTGTTAAGCCGATTTTGAGTGACCGTGTTGCTGGCTGAAAAGTACATTCATTAGACACGCCAGGAATACTTGAATTCGGCCCTAGAACATGAAATGATAATAACAAGTAAAATTCACATAGTGTTTTATGTGTTGTCAATTAGCAGCATAAAATCTCAGAACATCGATGCATGTATTTCGGTCTTAAGCCGTCCTGTTTTGTTCAACACCGAATATAATCAATTTTACTCTGTTTCCTTAGGTATGTTGCATAGAGTTTTTCTGTAATTGACGATGATGTTCGTAACATCGAAACATGTCTTCGAAATTAAAAAATGTCGTACTCTTCTTGAAGATAACGATTTGCATATTATATCCCACATAAACATTTATGTTTCTACCCCAGTTCCGTGAGTAGCATTGTCGAGTCCAGGCCTATTATTTTTGTCTTACTTCCATGTTAAAGATGGCCGTCCTGTCCTGCATAATTTACTGGTTTAAGCAACTTATCATTACGAGGCTTATAAGTCCATGTTAAATGAAGTTGCTCCCAAGACGTTCTACCCATCCTTTTGTTTTGCCAAACTGCGTTAAAAATGTAGCTGTTATGATATGGAAATCTCCATTATTTTATCCACTTATCTCAAACAACTATCATCCGGCTTTCAAACAATCCTTGAGTGGAGTGACGCATTAAAAGAGACAGTTTGGCGCATGATACAAAGATAAAACTTGTAAACATCAATATTAATTTGAGACTTGACCTGAGGCGACCATCATTTTACAAGATCTCAAAGACAAAGGCTGTAATTCCATTTGCTTTGTTGCTCTTTGTCTCTTATTTAATTTTCATAACATAAATTGATAGTTCTTTTCTTAGCAAATTTCCGAGAAAAATAAGCGGAAGGAAAAGTTGTTCCCCTGTAAAACAAAAGAATTGGGAAACACCATCCATTCGTCCGCAAAATTGACAAGAACCGCATGATTTACAGTCATAGATTTGTTAGAAGAGGTTCCCACTGTCACGAAGATTACTTTTCACTCGTCAGAAAATTTAAGGTAATGAAAATTCCTGCTCATTTTACGTCTGGAAACGACCATTAGGTACAAAACAGACAGTAAGTTGTATTTTCTAGTCAATTTGACAGAAATGTTTTAGATGCAGGCTCCCCTTAGAATGCTGCATGGTGAATTCATTGAGACGATGTCCAGCCTCAAAACTTTTCGTATGCAATGAACACAAATGAACTAAAATCTCTCTGTTTTGTATCATTCTATGAGACTTTGACTTTACATCTCTCGTTTTCTGACTGTTGTTTTCTGATTGCTTGATTATGTTTTAGACATCTGTCCACACACAGTTTTCCTATTGAACTGTAAACTTCTTTTGAACCTTTAAGCTTCAAAGATAAATACTTAAAAATCTTTCATATCTGTATCAAATTTAAAGTGACTTGTTCTCACCTGTGTCATTGGCAAACATTACAGACATCATAAATTCCTCGGCACTTTGAAATCTGCTATGATATCCCTGAAGATATTTCTCTGTCAGAAGACGATGAAAAATACTAATTATTCTATAGTTTAAGTAGGAAATTGAAGATAGATAACAAATGACAGAAAAAAAAAACAAATATATTGATACCAATTGCCTATTTGCAATTGTGACCTCATAAGATTATATTGCAATGATAACAAAAAACTGGAAAACTGCATAAATGCAAAGATACTTCTCAAAGTAACGGCTTTCGATCCTGCAGTAATTAACAAAGAATTAGTGGAAAAGAAACGAACACAATTTAAAGGAAGAGGCAATTTGAATTGCCATTAAAATGTTAAGACGGGTAGTGCCACTTAGTTTGAATTAATTCATTCATTATGTTTTATTTCGAAATTGCTTTATAAAAATTCTAGTTAGTCAAAAGTAGAATCAAACGAACGTGAGAGAAAGCAAGAATTTTTTTTTTTTTTAAAACCGCAAGGCCTTTTATATATTGAGATATTCAGGAGGGATGACTGCAAAATTCCACAGATGTTAGACAAAATCTGTGGTTTGTTTGTTTTAAATTGTTTTGTTTCGATTTTTTTTTTCGCTTATTTGGTACTTGAGAAATTGAAATGGGTTCTCTCTGCAGAAAGCAATGCGGATTCTTATCCCCCGCGCAGGCGACCACTTGTACGATCATTGTTCGATATTGTGCACGAAAATCAATCAACCTACCGGCAGGTCTTCGACCAGAAAATTACATTTTTTTTAGTTAAATTCGAGTCCCGGAAGGAAAAGCTTTTTGGTAACTGAGTAAACAGAAAAATGTCAAATACGAACCTACCTACATACGTAAACTTACAAGATAAATACAGACGCCAAACTGACCATTAAAAGCCTACTTATCTTAACATAAGAATCAAATGCTAACAATTATATTAACTTTGATCAAGAAACAAAAACTGAACGCTTAGTTTACCCGCAATTCAATCAGAAGTCTCGGGAAAATCCTCCTTGGGAATCATCAAACCTTAACATGAGCCCTCCGTTGATCCAGCGAAGGCAGATATTTCAAATACCATGATCTTGCGATTGAAATTGTAGCCTAAAAGGCCACTTTTTTTTTTTTTCTTTAATTAGTGTCAGCAACAGAATTCTTTATAAGGCAGAAGATTTGAAGGGCTATATTCACATGAGAGTGCTCTTCAGTGGTTAAGTTAGCTATAACGTACGTTGTTGCAAGAAATATTTGGCACCGAAAAAGCCATGAAATCAAAGGCTTATTAGAGATAATTAAAAGGCCTCAGAGATGGGAGCTTAAAGCTAAGCAGCTTAAAAGGTGCGAGTCAAATTCGTGTTAAATAATGATTATTCTTTTGCGCCGTGTGAAATGTTTTCATTAATGAAAACCTGATCAGTGATACCTGATAATGGTTGTCGAGAAACGTTGGCCAGACAAAATAAAATTCTGGCTGTTTACCTTGAAAATGAAATATTTATTTCTTAAATCGCGTAATTGTTTCTATATTTTTATTCGATTCCAGGTCTTAAAATCCATCTTCAAGTTTAAAACATAGCCTGTTCGATGTTCGAGAGTTTTATTAAATTTCTACAAATTTAAATAAACAAATCCCAGACAATGCATATTTAACTGTGTAAATAATGAAAAAATAAGCAAATGATGAACGGATTATACACTTATTTTATGATGATGTGGAAAAGAGTTATATACAAGCCGCGGGTCCGACTGAAACCATCGTTGATAAACAACGGAATGCAGGACAGTTTGAAGCTTTCTCTCGTTACGCCAGAATACAGTAACTCAGGTTGACTTATCAGTTTATGAAAAAAGGATAATCGTATGGAAAGGCAAGTGGCATTTGACATTTCAAGACCTGTGCGAGAGGTTATGTGTTATCACATTTCCGCCATCAATGCCATTAACTCTACATAAGGTTTTTCATGTCCATTTACATGAAATTGAAGATACGATGAACAGAAGCCATGGTCCGCGATTTAAGAGTTGACTTCACTAAGTTAGGTAAAGAAGCGAGGTTCAATTAGTTGCCTCAAAATTCACCATTTAGACCATTTAGATGGACGTCGATTGTAATACCATTGCATAGTAGACTGAAATATAAACAAAATCGTTCCCTGAGACACTTTGGTTTTTTAGCCTACTTCAGAACAATCAAATCCCAGATAACGAGTTATAGTGTCTTTAATCTTGGAACTCAGAGCCACACTCGGAGCTATTCAAAAAGGAAAGGTACCCAGTATGTGAGTTTTCATCGAGAAAAAGATGTACTTTGATTACAGTTATACGTATGATTTAACTGAAGTGCTGCTACTCACCAAATGGTGTGTCCTTCTCGAGACTGACTGATTAAGATCAAATATGTGGTTATTGTATTTATCTACTCCTGACTGCCACAGTTTAGCAAGCACGCAGTGCCAAGTCACGCTATGTGGAGATAAAACAGGAAAAAGGTAAGTTATTTCCAGATCTTTTCCATCTCCTCCGGAACGCAGTGACATGTTAATTACACTTGGTGACGCTAATTACACCAGTTAGGTTTGTAAATAACCCAGTATTTTATGTAAGTAAGAGTTTTAAAGCTCTCTGAAAAGTGACTTAGTCGTGTTTGGCTGAGTAAGGAGATGTGTAAAGTGTGCTTCGTCGTAATAAACAAAACATTTCCGGCATATTCCAAAGGTCTATTGACACAAAGTTTCAGAGAACATTTTTCAGGGTGGAATTTCGACGAAGGGGGCTTAAATAGATCTAAATTCTAAATATGTAATAGATAATTCTCAATGCGCCAAAGATCGCAATATACGTAGTTCTGAGTCCATTCAAATTCTTTAGGTCTTAGTTCGACCGTGCGGGCTCTCTGGCCTCATGAGTTCCGAAATTGTACTCATTGTAAAGTGTTGCATTGCTGAGATCCTCGTCCTTGACATTCGCCAAAGCACTTTGATCAGAATTTTTTAAAAATATTTCCGCAGTTCGGGCCCATCCTTGTAAGATATCTCCAAAATTGGCCTAATGCTATCAAATTTTGCTCCTAGGTAATTATAACATCACTTATAATTACCTAAAGAACTGAAAAACATCACCCTATGCTACAAGTATTACATTGCCATTCAACGTCAGTTGAGATAGCAAAGAAGACAGACCCTGTTTAAAAGTTGTAGAGCTGAATAATAATCATTATTTATCATTTTTGAGATCAAATTTATATTTTCTTCTTCTATGTTACTATACTCCGAA